TATTTCTGAGGGAGGGGCTTCATAAAAGCAGGAAATGATCAGCGCGTTCAGAGGAGAAGGGACAGACAGGTGTGGAATAAAGGTAAATTATGTGAAAAATAATGCGTTTTTTAACAAACAAAGCATTAACACATGTTAGACTGCACCCCATAAACACAATGAAGCCTAGAAAAAAAAACAGTCAACCACCCCTTTAAAAAAAAAATTTTGCCGTGATTGAAGCACTAAAATGACTAACTTAAAAAATAAAAACTGAACAAAAACTAATAAAAATGCATAAAAATTTCTAAAAATATAACAAGTTATACAAATAAAAACTAATTAAAAATATTAATAACAAATATAATAATATATAAGTGTATGATCTGGTTATGTGTCGAGCATGGCAACACATGCACCGCTCACGTTTGTTTAAATGTTAAATATCGTTTGGCTTTTGTGTCTCAGGTCGTGTCCTGCGTCTGAAGATGTTTCGTGAGGACCACGGCTCTTGGATGACTATGTTTTTCAGCACGATTCTCTCACTCTTCATCTTCTCTCACATCTATAACCTCATTCTGCTCGTGAGTGGACGGATGCGGTAAGACACAACAACAAGTTGTACCTTCATTCCCTCTTCACAGCTTTTCTCAGCCGGGATGGCAGTGATTCTTTAATTCTTTTTAGAAAGTCCCAGTAATTGGCCGTGACTATTAGATGATAGTAAATGAGTCCAGAACCGCTGATTGATTCGAACGGATGACTCAGGGATTCAAATCTTTGAGTGTGTTTGGAGCTGAGTCATGATTATTTTTGAGCGATTCAGTTGAATGAACCAACTCATGAGCTGTATTTGTTCCTAAATCATCTCACATAGCAACCAACTGATTTGTGAGTAATGTTGAGTGATTCATCAAAAAGAACCAGCTAAAAGAATCATTACTGAATCAGACTACACTGACCTTTCTGTATGTTTGTTGTTGCGTGCAGAAATGCAACAGAAAAACTTCTTAAATTAGAAGTTTAAATGAGACTTTTAAGAGTTGTTCATTCATTCCCTCTTTCCCAGGTTTTCTTATTAGGGATAGCAGTTGTAAGGATTTTAACGATTTCTGTCTCTTTAATTCCATTAATTATTATTTTATTCATTTTAGGAAGTGCCCAATAGTTGTTTGTAACTATTAGATGATAGTTAATTAAGTAAATGAGTCCAGAACCGCTGAATGATTCAGCAAGATAAGTGAGAGATTCAAATCTTTGTGTGTTTGAATTTGATTCACGAATCTTTCTGAGCGATTCAGTTAAACAACCCAGCTCATGAGATGTATTTGTTCATAAATCAGACTACATATATTAACCATAGAGTTCAAGACTTTTAAAAGATGAATCAAAAAGAACCAGCTAAACGGATCATTACTGAATCATTTAGTTGATAGAATCTATTAGATGATAGTAAATGAGTCCAGAACCCACGGATTGATTCAATCCAATAACTGATGGATTCAAATCTTTGAATGTGTTTGAATCTGATTCATGATTCTTTGTGAGCAATTCAGTTTTTCATAAATCAGACTCCATGTTATCCGTAAAGTTCAAGACTTTTAAAAAAGATTCATTAAAAAGAACCCGTTTAAAGAATGATTACTGAATCAGACTACACTGATTGTTCTGTATGTTCGTTGTTGCGTGCAGAAATGCAACAGAAAGACATTTATGTATTCTTTTTGTACGATTTTACTAAAAAATGTCATTGCACTGCAATTCTGCACAAGAATGGCTTCTCTCCTGAGGGATTGATTTGACCAGCCGTGCATGAATCCTATAAGCTTTAAGTGCGTTTAAGCACTGAGCCGAGAAGCAGCATCTTCAGTCTGCTTTACATTATCATCTGGAACAGAATGAGGACGTATGATCTCAGATCAGCACATGTGCGTACAGTCAACCGTGAGCCGTTTGAGAACGCGGTGCCGCTTCAATTTGACGCGATAAGATGGATGCCTCACTTACGGTTCGATTCGCCATCTAATGTTGAGCTCTGCACTCAGCCGATGCTTTCACATTACAGGCCACTGTTTGGAGAACGGCTGCACCATTTTTCAGTGAGATTGAATGCTGGGCGATCATGTCGCCACACATCGTCTCAAGGTTAAACGCGGTGAGCATGGCAATCCTGCCGATTGTTCCTGGCCATAACAGCACCATCAGAATGAATGTTTGTGAGCGCAGGTTGGACTGATCAAAGACTAGATTGATACATTTGTAAGTGCCAGAAACCTTTGTTGTTTTATTAAATCATCAAACACTTTGATGAACAAAGAAATGAAGAGCGCAGATGGGCATTATGCTCAGACCTCTCCATCGCTGCTGTAATAATGACTGAGGTTGAAGTGACTTGAAAAGTCTCAGAGCAACTTTTAGGAATATCTTCTAACCAGATCATAAAAGATTTTCCTCCAAAGCTGCATAGTCTGGGTTTCCATGAGCAGAATGCTAAATCTGTCAGCCTTCACAGAACTGACACAAAATGACTAAACAGATGCTCTCTGTTCCAAAACCTAGTGAGCTGCCTTGCTGTCTACTACCTACATAAGCAGCTGTCTTCTAAGGCAGCATCATAACTAGAACAGAACTTCATAAGTTACTGATTTGGAACATTTGTGCGTCATACAAGTGCTGCTCAAACTCAACTCACAATTCATTTACAATACGTGTATATATTGTTTGTATCTCTATGTGTGTATCTATGTATATTTATTATGTATATATTTGTTTTAACATCAGTCGTGGCTCTATATCTCCAGTAATCTGTCTCAGTAAGATGAGATTGAAATGCTCCAAACATATAATGCAGTGATTGAGAGCTGAAGAAATAAAGGCTCCTCAGAAGATGTGAGATGTTCTGGAGGCTTGTGAAGATCATTCCTCCGCTGAGGAACAGTGAAAGTAAAGCTTCTGGAAACAAACGCTCCTCAAAAGATCCTGAGGATCAGATTTGAGACTCTAAAACATGATTGATGGAGAATCAAGTAAAGCTGAGCTGCTTCAGTCCAGTAAGTGTTCATCTGGAGATATTACTGCAGTTATTCTGATGCTTACTTGATAAAAACCAGTCAAGATTTGACACGAGAAGCTCCAGCTGAAGCAATTACACTAAGAGAGCTTTTACTGGATAAAACACTCTAAACTATCAATCAGACACAGAAGTCATGAGGAGATCGAGTGACAGCAAAGTTCTGATCATTTGGAGCCTTAGAAATGCGTGTTTGTAGAGTTAATGACATTGTGGACAGGTGGCGCTGTTGTACAGCACTTGAGCTCATGTCTCTGTCATGAGAAAGGATTGTTTGCAGCTGTGAGAGAAACCCTCTCATTCAGAGCCGCACACAGCACTGTTAGAGTTTCTCATTCAGAGCCGCACACAGCACTGTTAGAGTTGATGCTCGTGTCATTATGTCCTCACTGTCACTCTCTCAGAATACACATCAGATTAACACTAGAAACAGATCTGTCGTGTCTCGAGACGTTTATGGACAGCATCTGTTCTTCAGTGGATGACCATGGTAACTGTTACTAATACTAACATGGTAAATTCTCATCTGTTGTTTGACACACGAGCAGTTTGTCTGTTGCTCCCACATGTTTTTCGTGTTATAATGTTATAATGTTCGTTTTCACATTATAGTGATGAGATTTGGAGGTGAGACGGAGTCGTACAGGTCCTGAAATATGCTTGATTATCCTTGTGCTAAATGTAATATATTTTCTCTTTTATTAAGGGTGAAATATGACATACATTGTACATATATTTTACTGTTTTTGTCAATACTGATTAAACAAATTCCTTTTTATTATGTATTATTAATTTATGTATCGATATCTTATGCTTATATAGAAATGCACACACGCACACATACAGTACATATATAGTGTGTGTGGGAGTGTATGTAAGTTTACATATTATTTATGCACTTTTTTTGTTTATATATATGCAAAAGATATATATGCATACAATTTTATTTACATATTTATACATATTTTTGGGTTTTTATATATATATATGCATAAACAAAGGAAATCTCTCACAGCATCTGTTCCCTCTCATCTTTCTCATTTATATTCTTTTATTCTCTGTGACACACACACATACACACACACGCACACACACATACACACATACACACACACACACACACACACATACATACGCACACAC